ACTTTGTCTTTGCTAGTTCCACAGCATAGTTTGCCCTGAAAAATTAGCTGCCCATTGAGGGTTTATAACTCTCATTCAGCAAATATTCTATTATTTCTGTAATGCATCGTTGAGAGGCACAGATGAAGAAGTTCATTTTAATTCAGTAAAGACAAGAAAGACCTACTTTCAAAAAGCAAAAGACGAAAGAAAATTAAATAAACCACATACAGGAGAGGAAAAGTAATTTGGTGATTCAAAAGAGATGGACAAAGCCACATTCCTTTGAAAACTTTAGGGGAGCTCATAGGAAAAGAGAATCACAAAACCTGATCTTGAAGGATTGGTAAGTTTTTAATAGGTATACAGGACTGTCCATGCTTGGAGACCTTCCTCTCAGAGGCTCACATGATCATAGACTTAGAGATAGGAGAGTATAGCATGTTTAGAGAATAAACGCTGTAAATCAGTTATAAGTAAGCTGAGTCTCACCCTGGTCAAATCTCAGCATCAGTTCTTTACACCATTGAGGTATACTAATGTTATTTTCACACAGATTTAGGTTGGTGTTTGGATTATCTACTACTGTGAAATAAACTACCCCTAATAGCTTAAGAGAGCAACCCCACTTATTTTCGCCTCATGATTCTCTGGGTGGATTTTCTGCTGTGTCATATGATGGAAGTCAGAAGTCGGTTGGGGCTGAAGTCATATATAATCTTGGCAAGGATGCTGCCATAGCTAGTACTCTCTTCCCTCTTCATGTGGCCTCTCCCTGTGGTTTCTTCAGGTGTGGACTGGCCTTCAGGAAAGCAGGACTTATTACATGGTGATTCAGTGTTCCCAAAAGTGAGAATTCCAAGAGAAAGGAAGTGAAATCTGCCTCTCCTCTTAAAAACTAGTCCTGGAATTGGCACCCCTGCCATATTCTGTTGGTTAATATGTGTCCCAAAGCTAGCGAGCTTAGTTTCATTGTGGGAGGGGACTATATAGTAAGGAATATCAGATGATGTGGTTCATTTGGGACCATCTTTGGACACTAGCTACCCCAGTAAGTAATACTGAAGGTTTAAATTATGAAATGTCCATGGAAATTTCAACACCATTTTGCCTTGGTAGAACCATCTCATGGTTGCATTAAGACTTGGTGATCAGTTTGGCAGTGGACTGTAGGGAAGAGAGTATTAGGACAAAGCTAAGATTTGAGCTTGTGTAGCTCTAAAAATTATGGTATAGTAGTAATGACTATTTATACAAAGCAAAGACTTACAGTAACTTATTCATAGGAAAACAATGTCAGGAAGCAGATCTTCAGTGTAAGGTTATGAACTTGGCTGAATCTAGGTTACCAGCAGAACACTTATGATATGGAAAGGCAAGTACGCAAGTGTGTCATTCGTAGTGAGGTTAGAGCAGGAGATACAAATATGAAAGTTAGGTCAACAAAGGTGATAGGGGATAAGGGTTCTGGTGCATACAGCTGAGACACTGGTGAAGGAAAGGCATCCAAAGATTGGATTTGGGAACCTTTTGGGAAACTCTTTTTATGATAGAGGGGAAAAATGAGCCAGAATGGGGAGAGTGGTAATGAGGTAAGAGATGCGTAATAAGTTAGATCAATATCATAGTGGCCAAAAGAGTGTTTAACAATGCTAATTGCTCCAGAAAGTTGGAAGAACAGGAAGCCTGAGAAATGTTGTTTGAATAGTAATTGAAAGGACAGAAATGAAGGCAATGATCCTTCCAGGGAATCTCTCAGCAAATGTTCTCTAACCTCAAGAGATGCTGGAAAAATACATGTATGGTGCTTATTGCCTCTCTAGAGGGAGGCAAACTCTAGCAGCATAGAAGGCAGAGGAAGAGCTATTGGATCAGCAACCAACAATGTTTGCCATACTTCAAAAATCTTTATGTATTTTACTCTTTTTCTTGTTTTGTTTTTCTGGCTAAAGTTTTCAGTACACTGCTGAATAGAAGTAGTAAGATCTTGCATTCGTGGTTTTTAACTGGACTTGAAAGTTGCTAATATTTTACATTTGAGTATGAAATTTACTGTAAGTTTTGGAAGATAACTTTTATTGGTTAAGAATAGTAGTTAAGAGGGCTTCCCTGGTGGCACAGTGGTTGAGAGTCTGCCTGCCGATGCAGGGGACGCGGGTTCGTGCCCTGGTCTGGGAAGATCCCACATGCCACGGAGCGGCTGGGCCCGTGAGCCATGACCGCTGAGCCTGCGCATCCGGAAACTGCGCTCCGCAACGGGAGAGGCCACAATAGTGAGAGGGCCGCATACCACAGAAAAAAAAAAAAAAAAGAATAGTAGTTAAGAAAATTCAATTTACTCTCTGCATTACATTTTCTGCTTCTATTGAGATGATGAAATGTTGTTCTTCCTTTAATTTGTTAATGTAGCAGATTATACTGATAGTTCTCAGTGTAAAACCATCCTTGGACTCCTTGAAAATTACTTGACTTCCAGGGAAAAAGCTCAAATTGGTTGTGATTGTTATTATTGTTTGTTATGCATTGATGGCCTCAAATTTTGTCTGCGATTTATTTATTTAAAGTTTATTTAAATTTAATTACAATTTACTTAAAATTTAAATTAATATATTATTTGAAATTTGTCTGCTGTGGTCCTTTCTCATAGTGTTCTTGTCAGATAATAGTATTAACAGTTTAATAGTGTCATAAAATGAGTTGAAAACCTGTTCCTCTCTTTGGTTTGTCTTGAACTGTGCATTAGAGGAGAATGATCTGGTTTCAGAAGGCTGGTTGTAATGTTCATTTGAATCTTGTAGGCTTAAAAAAAATAGTCTTTTGTACATTTAAAATTGGTACCACATCCAGAGATTTGTCCATTCTTCATTTTTGATTGTGTTTGTGTGTGTATCTTCACTTTACTGTTTTTTTCAAAAAAAAAAAATTGCCCTTAATTTTAAAAATTCTTACATCCTGTCTTTGTTAGGCAGAATACTGGCACTTCCACTTCCAAAGAGGTCCACTGCCTACTTAGAAACTGTTAGTTTTTTTTGTTGCATGACGAGGGGCAATTAAGATTGTAGATGGAATTAAGGATTCTAGGCATCTGACTTTAAAATAAGGGCTTTATCATGGATTATATGGGTGGTCCCAGTATAATCAGCAGGATTCTTAAAAATGTCAGTGTGATGCAGTATGAGAAAGAATTAACTGACTATTGGCTTTGAGGATAGAAGGAGGCTACAAGCCAAGGAAGGTTGATGGCCTCCAGAAGCTGGAGAAAGCAAGGAAATGGATTCTCCCCTAGAACCTCTACAAGGAGTGCAGCTCTGCTGACACCTTGGTTTTAGCTCATTGAAACACACTTCAGACTTTTGACCCCTCCCAAATTGTAAGGTAATACATATGTATTATTTTAAGTTACTAAATTTGTGGAAATTTCTTATAGCAGCAATAGAAATTTGCTATTTTGGTATCTGGAATGTGAAACCTTAAAATGTGAAAGTGCCTTTGGAATTAGCCAGTGAGCAGAGGAGGAAAGAATTTTGAGGAGCCCGATAGAACAAGCCCAGATAGCCTTAAAGAGACTGCTAGTAGAAATATGGATGTTAACTGTTACTGAGGGCTCAGAAAGAAGTCAAGAGCATGGTAGAGAAAACATTTATTGTTTTAGAGAAAACCTAAGTCCTCATGAACAGGCTTTGTAGAAATATGACATGAAAGGCTCTGCCAGTGGGGATTCAGATGAAAATGAAATGAGCATGTTATTGGAAATTGGAAGAAAATGGTAGAAACTTAGCTGAATTGGGTCCTGCAGTTATGTGAAAAGCAAAGCTTGTAAATGATGAAGTTGGATATTTAGCCTGTGATTTCCACGCAAAGGGTTGAAAGTGTGGCCTAGTTTCTTCTTATTGCTTATAAAAAAATGCAAGAGGAATAAGTTATATCGAGGAAGAACTGTTAATCAAAAAAACACCAGGACTTCATGATTTGAGACATTCTCAGTCTGTTGCAGGGTGAAAAAGATGCTAACATGAGGATATTCACCCTAAGGAAAGTGTTCTCTGAAGAGAAAGCCAAAAGCGTGTCTGGACAAACTTTTGCCAGTGCCTTAGAATAATCAAAAGGTCAGAGTACTTTTGGACAGAGAACTTTTTTATCATTATGTCATGGCTTTATCCATAAAAGTGCTTATTTCCTTAGTCATTTGTCCTGTATTATGTTTTTTGGATAGGTTTTATATAGTACTTTTTGCTTATCCCTTTACACGAAAGTGTCTTGAGTTTTGTTTGAGGCATCACTTTAAAAATATATAGGGGTTGCGGCGGGCACTGGAGTGGGTTGGGGCCTGGCCGGTGCGAAGGGCGGCCGAGCTGGAGGGAGGGTGGGGTTCAGGCCCCTATCCCGGCCAGCAGCAGCTACTGCCACGGCTTGTTCGAGTCTGGTCCTTGTGCGCTTACGACGTCTGCGAGTCCCCAGAGAGGCCGCTGTAGTGTTGGCGGCCACTGCCCTGAGGCCGCGGCACACTCTGTGAGGACGGCAGGGAGTCCTCGCCCTCCCACTGTATCAGGTCCGGAAAGTGATCAGAGTGGCTAGTGAGTGCCTCGAGACCACAGAGCCTGCGGAAGGCGGCTCTAGGAGGCACATCCACATCTGCTTCCTCCCTAAAAAACAGTTGTGCCTAAATCTGGCGTTGTGCCCGTCCCTGCACTGAGCCAAAGGACATCGCTGTGAAGTTCAGGTCCTGGTTCCTAGGAACAAAGCCGATCTTGTGAGATAAAGAGGAATCCCACCAGGAAGATGGCTCATCTGAGTGGAGGCCTCCCACCAGGGCTGCAGAACAGAGGAGGATCAAGGCCAAGAAAGAGCAGACCCTAGATGTGCATAGCTGATTGCACTATGTGATCCTTGTGCTCCGCCAGCCACCCGTCAGACTGTGAGAACCTGAGGTTTGAGCCAAGTTTCAGGAGAGCCCAAACTTTGTAGTTCTCTACATGTTTCCTCGATCCACAGAAAATGAACAGATCTCAGGGGCCAGCGTCATTTGAGGATGTGAGCATGGGCTTCACTCAGGAGGCGTGGCAGCACCTAGACCCTGCTCAGAGGACCCTGTACAGGGAAGTGATGCTGGAGAACTATAGCCATCTCATCTCAGTGGGGTACTCTGTTATCAAACCAGAGGTGATTTTCAAATTACCGCAAGAAGAGCCATGGATGTTAGAGGAAAAGTCCCAAAGTCAGAGCCACCCAGACTTCTGCATAGTTGACCTGATGGAGAAGAGCCAGGAAAAGGAAGACCAGCATTGGTGGAAAGTTGGTTTTGTCAACAACAAAACACCGACTAAAGAGAGAAATAGTGTATTAGGAAAAACATTTTCTCTGGATACAAACTTTATTTTACCAAGAAAAATACCTGGTAAATATGACTCATATGGAATGAATTTGGATTCTCTTTCAGAATTAATCATTAGTAATAGACACTGCTTTGTAAGGCAGCTTGATGAGTTTAATACACATGGGAAATTACTCCTCTGTACAAAGCACAAGAATTCTCATTCTAGAGAGAAATCTTTAGAATATGATAGAACTGGAAAAGCCATCAGTCAAAATGAGGACTTATTTCAGCATCAAGATACTCAAACTCTGAAGATTTCTTTTGAATATACTGAATGTGGGAAAGCCTTCAATGAGGGAGAAACTTTCATTACCTATAAGAGAGCAAGCTCATGGGAGAAGCCCTATGGTTGTAATGAACATGTCAAAGCCTTTTCTGATAGACCAACATTCAGTGTTCATCAGGGAACTCATACAAGGGAGAATCACTATGAATTGAATGACTGTGGGAGGTGGTCTCTTCATGAGAAGTCAACTTTAAGCACCATGGAGTTATCATGGGGAAGAGGTAATATGAGTGTGTTGACAGTGAGAATAGTTTCAGCAAGAAGTCACTCCTTCAGCGAATTTATAAAGGAGAGAAAACCTTTAACTGTTACAAAGATTGGGAGGTATTCTGCAAGAAGCCAAATTTCATTCAGCATCAAGAAACACATATAGGGAAAAAAGTCTATAAAATTAATCAGTGTGCTACTGCATTTTGCAAGAAGTCAAAGCTTCCTACATATCAGAAAACAGATATAAGAGAAAAACTCTATGAATGTAGTGAATGTGGGAAAACCTTCAGCCATAAATCATCTCTCGTCCTACACCAGAGGATACACAGAGGGGAGAAACCCTATGAATGCACCAAATGTGGGAAAACCTTTGGGTATAGGTCAGGCCTCACAGTACATCAGAGAACACACACAGGGGAGAAACCCTGTGAGTGTAATGAATGTCAGAAAACCTTCAGTGATTGGTCAGCTGTCACAGTACATAAGAGAATACATACCGGGGAGAAACCCTATGAATGTAAGGAATGTGGAAAAACTTTCTCCCAGAAACCAAACTTCATTAATCATCAGAGGACTCACACAGGAGAGAAACCCTATGGATGTCACAAATGTGGAAAATCCTTCTCTGTGAAGTCGAAACTGAGGGAGCATCAGAAAACACACACAGGAGAGAAGCCTTATAAATGTAATGAGTGTGGGAAAACTTTCAACCATAAGTCATCCCTCACAGTACATCAGAGCACCCACACAGGGGAGAAACCCTATGAATGTAACCAATGTGGGAGAACCTTCTATCAGAGAACACACTAGGGAGAAACACTACAGGTGTAATGGAACCTTCCACCAGCATCTCGACTTCACTAAACAGCAGAGAAACAGCACTAACTAGAAACCCCTGTCAACATCCTGAAACCTTCACCCTCTTTTTGGACTCACTGCATAGCAGAAACAACCTGAGGCTGAGGTGGGGGACCCAATATATATGAGAAATCTTTTGCCTAGAAGTGACATTTCATTGAGTAGCAAATAATTAATATTTTATAACTTTATTAATATTTTGAAGGTGTTACAGTGTCAAAAAATTTAAAAAGGAGGTCTTTTCTTTTGCAGAATACGTATAAGTATGCTATATAGAGAAACTTTTCATGATAGGTTTGCTTACTGGAACACAACATTATAGTAGGAAGTATATATATATTTGCTTAATAACTCAAAGTTTTTATTTCATCATTTTAATATGAATATGAAATGTATAAGTTGTCCCATACTTAATACCTATGTATTTTTTTGTTTTAATTGAAATTTTTATTGAGATAATTGTAGATTGTAAGATGCAGTTGTAAGAAGTAATACAGAGAGACCCCATGTACCCTGTACCCAGTTTCCCCCAGTGGTAACATCTTGTAAAAATATAGTACAAATATCAGCCAGGATAATGATATTATTGATATAATCCACCAATTAGTTCAGAGTTTCTCAATTTTACTTCTACTCACTTATGAGTATGTGTGTTTAGTTCTGCGCAATTTTATCACACGTGTAGGTTTATGTATCCATCATTGGCTGTGGCATCTGTTGACTGTGGTATCTACGACCGCAGATATTTCATGATATTCAGGGGTTATTAGTTTCTCCGGTATTGTAATTATGTTTTTCAAAAGAGTCTCTATATTTTAGAGATAGAAAAAGTAACATTTGCTACAGCATTCAGATAATTGAAATATAGGCAACAATACCATGAGCTTGGAGATATATATGTATTTGATTGGATCACCTGTTCTTTCATTTCCAGGATTTGTTTATATAACTTGTATATTTACTTGTTGACTACATTAGGTTACAAATACTTTCTCCTAGACTGTGGCTTACCTTTTAATTTTATTTATGCTATATTATACTGTATAGAAGTTTTAAGTTTTGATGCAAATATATCAATCTTTTCTTAGGTCTTTTTGCTTTTTGTTTAAGAAATTCTTTTCTAGACTGAGATTACAAAGATATTCTTCCAAAAGGCTGAAGTTTTGCTTTTCATGTTTATATTTTTAATCTCTCTGGAATTTTTTTTTAATGGTGTAAATTAGTGATCTACTTTCATTTTTTTTTGCAAATGGAAAAGTCAGTTGTCTCAGGGCCACTTTTGAAGGTCTGTGTATTCATTTCCCAGGGCTGCAGTAACAAAGTACCACAAACTGGGTGGCTTAAAATACTAGGAATTATTCTTCCAGTTCTGGTGGCTAGAAGTCTGAAATCAAGACGTCAGCAGGGCCATGCAGTCTCTGAAGGCCCTAGGGGAGAATCTCTTCCATGCCTTTCTCTCAGCTTCTGGTGGTGGCTCTCCATCCTTGGTGTTCCTTGGCTTACAGCTGCATAACTCCAATCTCTGTCTCCATTGACACATGCATTCTCCCTTCCTGTGTCTAGTTCTCTGTGCCTGTTTTGCAGCCAGCAAGGCCATGGCCCTTAACTGTCTGCTTGCCCAGACCTTTAGGTGCAACCTAGTTGCCTCAAACCTAGCTTCTGCCAGTGCACAGCATGCGGTGGTGGAAATGAACAGAACCCTGCACCCACCCCCATCCCCCTGCCAAGGACAAAGGCCCCTCCATATCCCCTGCCTCTTGTTTATAAAAAAGTACTAGATCTATGGCTAGCACAGTTTCAAGAACTTGTCCTTAAGAGAATGGGATTAACATTGTTGGCTTATAATAACCTATATCTTTGTGGGCATCAAAATAATTGTAGCTTGTTCTGCCCATGTATGTAAATGGTCAACTACAGTTGTCAGCGAAGGGATGCTACAGACCCATGTCAACATCTCCCACTCTAAGAATATGGTGCCTTGTGTCAGCATGAAGTTACAGAAGACAGACCTTTGACCATAATCCAATAAAAATGGAATGATGTTCTGACAAGTGGGGATTTATAAGCAGCTTTTGGCAGGAAAAAGCTCTTTGCAGGAAAGAGCTCTCTGCAGGAGGCCCCTTTTGTCTTGTCACTAACCTTAAACCAGTTTCCCCCATGCTTTACTCATCTCTGGCCCTAGCACACTTTCAAATCTTTTGATCACATAATACCTTGCCTAATCTGTTGGTTCTTTCCATAAATCAAAGAAGCAGAAATAAAGAATAAGTAATTAACAGATGACCCTCGCTTCCGCTTCAGTAATCTCGTGAACAAACTGTGTGAACAAGATGGTACTGAAAGAAAGATCACAAGAAGTCAACAAGCCTGCATGACAAGCCTGCATGCAGTGGGGGATGGCAATGACTCTGACCTCCTATCTCAATGATTAACTGAGACTACTTACCTTTTTCCTTTAAAAACTTCTCAATGGCTGAGCAGAATCTTGGGAGGTGGTTTTTGGGGAGTCCACTATTTCCCCAGCAGTCTGATTAAAAGCAACTTTCCTTTCTACAAACATTTGTCTCTCTTGAGTATTGATTTCTGAGCAGCAAGCATCCAGACCTGATTTGGTAACACTGGGACTTGCAGCACGAGGTGTGTGGAGGGTGGGGGTCTTTTCTTTTTATTGCCGTGTTGCACAGACTAAACATCTGGGACAATGTTGACTAGAAGTGGTGAGTAGACATCTTTGCCTTGTTCGCAGTCTTAGGGGGAACCTGCTGTTTATTTCACCATAAAATGGTGAAATATGTCAGATATATGTTCTTTCATAAATGCCCTTTATTAGATTGAGGATGATTCCTTTAATTCCTAATTAATTGAGAGTTTTAAATCATGAATGTGTTGAATTTTTTCAAATGCTTTTTCTACATTATAAAGATATGGTTTTTCTTTTTTAGTATGTTAATATGACGAAATATATTGATTTTGAATACTAAGGCAACCTTGCATTTCTAGGATAAATCCTACTTGGGCACGATGCATTACCATCTTTTATAGATTAGAAGTTTCAATTTGCTATTTTATTTGTGTGTGTGTGTGGGCCTCTCACTGTTGTGGCCTCTCCCGTTGCGGAGTACAGGCTCCGGACGCACAGGTTCAGCGGCCATGGCTCATGGGCTCAGCCGCTTCGCGGCATATGGGATCTTCCCGGACCAGGGCACGAACCCGTGTCCCCTGCATCGGCAGGCAGACTCTCAACCACTGTGCCACCAGGGAAGCCCATCAATTTGCTATGTTTTTAAAGAATTTTTGCATCTATGTTCATAAGAGTTATTGATCTATAATTTTCTTTTCTTGTGGTGTCTTTGTCTGACTTTGGTATGTAGGTAATGCTGGCTCGTAAAATAAGTTGGAAAATGTTTATTTCTAGAAGAGTTTGTGTACAGTTGTTACCATGTCTTCTGTAAATGTTTGGTAGAATTCACTTGTGCCATCTGGCCTGTACTTTTTTTTGTGGGAAGGTTGTCAGCTACAAATAATTTGTTTAATAGGGCTATTCAGGTTTTCTCTTTCTTCTTGAGTGACCTTTGGTAGTTTGTACCTTTCAGGGACTTCTTCTATTTCAACTAAGTTGCTGAATTTATTGGCATAATTATTAATAAAATTCCATGCTGCTTTAAAAATAATAAAATAAAATAAAATATACAGAGAGATATAAATTATACATTTTTTAAAAAATTGAGAATCTTCATATTTGGTGATTTTAATTCATTTATATTTATTGTTATTGCTGGTATATTCACTTATATATCTACCATTTTATATTTTCTTCTATTTGATATAGTTTTCTTTGCTTATTTGATTTATCTTTCCTGCATTTTATATGATTCATAGAGTTTTCTTTTTTATTATTGTATCTTCTTTCTACTGGTTTGGAAATTATACTTTCATATCTATTACTTCAACATTTATACTTAAATTTTTGCATACGTAGAATGTCCAAGCTACTTTTCTGCCTTTAAAAAAGATTTTAGCAATATGCTCACTGTCATTCCATCAAACTCTACTCTTTTGTTAATTCTTGGTTATTTGAATAGTCCCAAGAATGTTCCTCTTAAAATCCTGACTCTCAGTTCCTTGACCTTTTCTCCTCTAATGAACTTAATCTTTCATCCAACCACAAAAAGTCATTCTATTATCCTACCCTGGACTTTTTCATTACCAATAAATGTACTTCTTCCATAATCCCAACTGTAAGCATCCTGATTTCCAACCACTGCCTCTTCTCTTTTTATCTCATACCTTCTGCTTATGCCTTAAATAAGTTTTATTTTAAAACTTATTTAAATAAGTTTTAAAAAGCTGACTCAGACCTATATAATTCATTGATTTTTACTATACCACATCTCTCTTTGATTTTTCTAAAACTGAAATAAATTACCAACTTGACATCTTGAATTTCAACTTGATATTTTTAATGGCATACTATCATCCTCCAAAAGATGAGGAAATATAAAATGAGAAGAAAACCAAAACAGTCCTAACACTAACCACAACTTTTCATGTTTCTTCTTAAAAGAAAGAGCTGATAGAAGATATTAGGAATAGGATCTTTAATCCTATGGACACTGTATGTGTCCATAATGAGGGATTTAAAGCAACTAAAAGAAAAACTCTGAGTTTCCTGAATTTTAAATCCCACTTCACTGATAACTCAGTTTTTTTTTCCATCATTTGGGATTGAACTCAACATGAAAACTTTTATTAGAGGATCAAGTTAGAAAAATTGATCCAAAAATCATACATCTAGCTATATACAACCAATTATCATATATCTTGTAAAAAATAGAATTTGTTCACTTATATATACACTGATCACATTTATTAAGCATCTATTTTTTGTCAAGCACTGGAATAGAAGCTGGGGATTCAAAGATGAGTAAAAGGCAGACAAAAACAATTGCCAA